TATATATATACGTACAAATAATATATTCTCTTCTATTTTTTCTAGCACATTTATACACTACATCTATTTAAATATGTAAATTTGTCTTGCATTCTCTTTATAATAAAATCCTGAAATAAAAAAGAAAAAGAATTACAGTCTCCAAGTAAGGAAGAACACGGTTTTTATCTTAATAGCCTAATAGCTTTTCCTCTTTTTATAGTAAAATTTAATGCAAGAGACCCTTCATAATAACGGAGATATAGCAGTGATACTGGCGAGGGATCATAATTAACCCCTCGAATCAACACAGTCATTATCATCCCCTTTCTCGATAGTATCGCTTGTTCAATATACTTTGCACGAACTCGCATCCAGTTAGACTTTATTAAAATTAAAAATTCTGCGATTTTATATAAATAATTGTTACATTGTAACCTTCTCTATCTTCCTTTGGCAATCGACTTTTCCACAAATGTTCTTACACGCGATCTCGAATCTCGCGCTTCGATCTCGTCTCAGAATTATATCATGGCATTGGGGAGCAGCGTTAAAATTTCTGACCTCGTTCACAAAACGATGAGCATTTCTTCGGGACAAAGAACAAACATGGCATCGGCTGCGATCATCGTTTCACGTCGACGTGCATATCTATTACTTAAAGGTAGCAATTCTCAGAAAAAGTCACGGGTTCGCGGCTTCACCGACAACGACGTGGCGATCGCGACGCGAATCGATAGACACCGGCGATAGACGCGGCGTCGAATGCTCGAATGAAACGTCTCGAGATCTTACAGAGACGGGAAAGAAAGGGCCACCCTCTCGTTACGTATGCACACCCTTAAATAATTGCGACTCGTTCGCGCAAATTATCCCAGGGTTTCCGCATCCGACCAAAGTAAAATATAATGACACGGCTGGCACATCGCGCGCGTGCGTGCACGTAATGCGAGTGTCTTTCTCGCCTCGTCTGAACGATTTGGCTTGCGCGCGTTTAGACCCATGTTCATGCATCCACATAAATAGGCTTAGATATCCAGACGCTTACGCGAAACACAAAATGTGAATGTGTATTTAAGTCCTCGAGTTATCGTAAAATTTCCAGAGGAGAAAGGGAGGGAAATAATGAGCATCCGCATCGCGCGATAATCCACATTCTTACGCGCGCGTCTTGATCAACAAGGTCTAGATGGCAGAGAAATTGACCGACAAGGACCAAATTTAGCTGTATCGTGTACGCGTTGATCGCATGATGAGGTGTGCTCTGCATAATCAAAACAGAATTTTTTGCTTATTTCCACTTAATGACATGATGTCTCGTAGTAGATCAGGAAAAATTATGGGTAAAGTTGAAGCAATTTATTCTGAATTTCACGCTTTAAAGTTTTGAGGAATTTCAAAATTTTATATTAATATTAGAGACAGATTTTCTATTCTCTCATGTCGCGTGCAAACGGTACATTGCATGAAATCGTGTTATGTTGAGTTGTTTTTACCTCTTGGATCATTTCCTAGTACTATTTCTCTCTATCTTTATGTTAGATCTGAATTTTGTAAAACGTTACATTGTGTGTTTGTCACGACTATTTTACGTCTTTGTTTAAGAACGCCTGAGAGAGATTATTTGAACCTAGTGCTTGTGTATGCGTGTTCGTATTTTAGGATTTCAATTTGTACAAAAAAAAAAAAAAAGAAAGAACTAACATAACAATATGATTATATAATAGATATATTCATGAAAGCATTAAACTTTTATTCTCACAAATTTTTTTTTGTTTTGTTTTAGAACGAGCTTCCAGTTCTATGCTGGCGAACTTATTCGGTAAGTCAATACTTTCATAGTTCTTGTGGTGTGTAAAATGATATTATTTAGAATTTATTTTAAACAATTATATACAACATGTTAAATAATGAGAGAGTAGAAATCTATTACAAAATTATTTTACATATGAATAACTCGCGCATAAATCTTATCTCAGGCAAACCTTAACGGGTGAAAATCTTGGGATACTATTTTTAATCCTGTGATACTAACAGATATATAGATAATTAAATTTCACGATGTTGCTGCTGAATATAATGAGCGCTACTAATTTTTAATTTTTCTCATTTCTTCGTATTTGCAATCTAATATACGCGCAAGCGAGTTTTGCTGAAGAATAATTTATAATCCTTGCCGAGAAGCGGCAACGTATTTCCGTCACTTTGAAATCGAGATGCCACTCGCGCATTATCGACAGATCGTCCTCGTTTGCAACGGACTTTTCGTTTTTCCACTCAAACTCTCCCCGCGATCGGGAGGGGATCGTGAAAAGGGAAGCTGAGGGCGGTTGACGCGGTGTAAACGCAGGCGTGTAACACACCCGAGGTGGTCGTTGGGACGCGCGCGATTACTTACTCCGCGCCGGCGAATTAACGACGAATCACCGATGGGAGAACCGGTTGCCGGTCGAACGAACGGCACGCAGCCTAACGACTTCTCTCTCTTCTCTCTCTCTCTCGGCTTCAACGGGCATTCCAACGGCACGAGTTCGCCCCGCGACGCGAATTAATGGAAACACGCCGCGGCATGCCGCGTATGCGCTGATAAAGCGGAACGTACGTCTTCTCTATACCTCTCTATCTCGCCGTCGCGAATCGTTATGTTCCATCGCGTTCAGTATATTAAGCGATTCTTGGTGCAAAATTTTTCTCCATAAAAAAAAAAAAAAAATACTGGAGTAGGAAGTACTGGAGTCGTGTATGAAAAAATTAGAGGTTTATTAATTACGTAATCGAAAGGTATTTAAACCGTGATTATCATGATTGGAATTTGAATAATACACTTATATAATGGGTCACTTAACTTCAGTTACTAAATAGTGTAATGTAACTTATATTAATGGATTAGAGAAAGTAATATTTTTATTTTATATTCGCTTTCCTATACAGCAAATAAAATAATATTTGCATATAAGATAAAATAATATAAAATAAAATTTAGATAAAAAAATATTTGCATAGAATATTATGAGAGTATCAGAAAACGCTAAGCTAGTAATGTTTAGCAAGACACATTCAAAGAATTAAATAAAGAAAGTTAGACGTTATTTTTAATATTAAAATTCTATCAAGATGCATAAATATCGAATATATTCTTGTTTTAATCGATATTTTAATTAATGTAATGACATAGTATATAGTGTATTAATCACGCTGATTTATATTCCATCGACGAAGAATTTCCGGTCGAATTAAACGCTTAAGCTTTACATTGAAAGGAAACACATGTTTTCCCATATATTATTTATGCATCCCGCAGGTTGATATACATAAATTGGTTTATTTAGAAAATTCTGATACAGTATTCGAAATTCAATTAATTTCAATGATAGCAGAGGTTCAAGCGAATTAATAGAAATTTCATCTAGAGCGATTATCACGCGCTGATGGAATAGATGAACTGTTTCTACTTGCTTCTGTTTGTTTTTCACGATATATTTCATTGCATTTGAAATTAAGCGATTCCGCATTCACGCATGAGCGCGATCATCGTACATCGAATTATCGGCTGTGAATTACACGGAGCAAGACGAAACATGAAGGCATATAATCGATCACAACTATCTTTTTACCGCTGAATATTTCTTTTTAAAGCAGATAACCTTCAGCATAACTTAAGATTAAAATGTATCCTCTCCCTGTATATGTATATTTACAACTATCTCTAATTTCTCGATATACAAATTTTATTTTCTATTAATCTATTAGCATAAAATAAAATTTCATTTAATTGCCATCAATTTTTATAAATATCTGGAAAACAAAGATATATTTTTTGTAAATATATACGGGAGGGGGGGGAGGGAAGAGAAAAAATCAAATAAATTGCAAATTTACACAAATGAGTATTTACTCTAAAGACCATCTCGTTTGCTCGATTGCGGCTTTAAGGATTTTCTCGCGATTTCGATAAAAATTAAGCCCCGCTATCCTAAAAGTGATGAGGGTTAATTGGATTTAGTTTATCAGATCTGAACCGGGGACTTGGTTACAGCCTATATTTCGCGAGTGGGTCGGCTCGCGACAATATAGCAAATTAGGTTGCTTCGTCTCGCCTTTTATAACCCCGACGACTCTGGGACATTCCGATGGCACGAGTTCGCCTTGCAACGCGAATTAATGGAAACAAGCCGCGGTATGCCGTACGCGCGTGCTGACAAACCGGAACGTTTGCCATTCCGTGTCCGTATCCTCCGCGTCTTTCCTCTTCCCAACGATTCCGGTGCGTTTGGATTAACCGATTTCGTGTTCATGCGCGCGTGCAAAAGTGTAAAGAAATAGAGACATGGCACCTAATGTCGCGTTAACATTTGTAACGCGATTTTTTTGTGCCATGGATGAGGATATTTAAATATTCGCGGAATTTTTTCGAAATGTTTTCTCGTAACATTTTTTAATTATCTTTAGACGGATCGTTAAAGTAAAAGCGCTCAACATATATTAAATAATATTTTATACATTTTTATTATCACTTGTTTTTCACTTATTTTTCAATTATTCAATGGGAACGATTATAATTCTTGTGAGTTTTTGATTATTATTATTATTATTGTTGTTATACAATATTCCTAGATAGTAAAAAAACTTAAATTTTATAATTCATTTGCAATATTTGTTTTAATTACAAAAGATAACTCTCTTCAAACTACGAAGTATCAGTCTCAATATGATTATTAAGCACATTTAAATTTTATTGAAATTAATTTGGATTTACTGTGAATATTGAAATTAATTTGAACTATTATTTCGAATATTGCAATTAAAAGAAAAAGAATACATATATATCGCGTTGTCCATTTTCTGAATTGTATCTTTACCAAATATATTATATAAAAAGTTTCCCATAGGAATTTCCTGTGAGATTACGAAATAACGTTACGTCTGATTTAAATGATTTTAAAATTAAAGTTACTCCGCGTGTCGTTGTCACGATAACGGTAATTCATTGAATTAAATAAGAATTAATCGCTTGAAGACGATTAGAGGAGCCGTGATCGTCTCGGTCGGTGATTTGTTCGGTGTAAATGTGTCGCCTCTCAAACCAGGTTTAAAAATTCGCTCTCTCGGGTGGCAATAACATCGTCGCGGTTTTGTAAAGAGTTAACTTACCTCAAATTGCCTAACGACTTCGTCTCTCGGCTTCGACAAGTGTTCCAATGACATGAGTTTGTCCGGCGACAGAATAAATGGAAACACGACGGCACGCCGTAGGCACTGATAAACCGGAACATCCGTTCAACGCACCGTCCTATTCACATTACTGCCTCAGCACATTCTACATCAAACGATTTAATCCCAACGCTCGAACGATGCTATGTTAAAAAGACATAGACTCGTGCGCTTCTCCGAGAACTTAGACATAATAAACTTTTGACAGCAATCATAACTCTAATGATGATTTGTGTATAATATTAATCTAAATATTTGTCGATTAATTGGATTAATTTATATTCATAATATAATATGTATAGATAGAAGATTCGAAATTTAGAAAAATTTATAAGCGGAGTATATAATACCATAAATAATATTTATGAGTGAAATAGCGTAAGACTTTCCCTTTGCGTGTTCTTCACATATAATCATCGATTTAATTCGCGCGCAAGAACCTTCTCAACACGCTGTCAAAAAATATTTCCAAAATTAAAAATCTCGCACTTTGCTTGTTTCTCACACGACTCTTATCGATAAAATGTAGTTTCTAACAAAACGCCAGATAACTCCCAACATCACCGTAGACAGGCTAACGACTTCTCCGCTTGACTTTAATGGACATTCCACGGCACGATTTTACTCGGCGATTTGAATTAATGGAAACACGCTGGCATCCCATTTGCACTGATAAAGCGGAACGTCCTTCTCGTAGTCTTGCCCCCTTTCTTTCTCCCTCGCTCTCTTATTTCTTCTCTCTTCCTCTCTCTTTTTCTCGTCACGTGTTTAGCTCTCTATCAACTATCTGGACGATTTCAAACACGTTTCACGTCGCGTCGCCAATGCCGACGTATTAAGCGATTACGCGTTAGCTTCAGCCTAACATAAGCAAGATCCGCGCGCCGAGAGTATGCGTATTAATCGCGTGAAAAGTTTCGCACGAGCGCCCAAAGCGTATCCGCCGCGAATTCAGTTAAAGCGCGAAAATCGACGTGCGCGATTACATCCGGAAAACAAACAATCACGGTGAAGTTTTATGTAACGGTCTCGGGGCGCTTAGAATCGTCATCAAGTATCTTCCGAGGACGTTTTTTCAAGCGAAAGCTTTAATTCAATTGTTACGATTAATTTCTACATATTTATGATATTATTTCTTGTTATTTGTTTTAATACTTGAAACAATTCGTACTCGATAATTATGATCTATTTATGTTTATATAGGAAGAGATTTTCGATATGCTGTATGTGATTCTTAAACGCACGAATTTGCGATATCGTCAAACTAACATATTTTTAAAAAAAAATTCAATTTCGTAGGTGATTTATTCTAAAAAGACTGTCTAAGTCCATAAATGCCTAAGTTTATCATCATTAATTCACTCATTAATTACTAGTTTTACACATTTGTGAATAATTAAACTGTTAAATCCATGATTTATTATAATCGCTTGGTATTTTAGCAGATTATGTTAACTGTATATTTACTGTCCGAAAAAATAGAAATGTAAAAATACAAGGAACGATCAAAATTATCCCGTTGTCGCGATTAGGATGCGCGACATTATTTATAATACGTAGTCAGCAGATCGAGAATGGTAATTCGCGATATCCGGAATGCCGTACCACACT